CTGTGGCGTTCATGCACAACAAACTGAGCAGGGTTATGAGCAAGTGAGTAGGGCGCGAAGAGTGGGTAGTTTTAAAATATTTGTTGTTACTTAATATCACAAAGAAAAGTGGTTCTGCATGTAAAATCAAGGGAGATGACAGGTGGTGTTGTAAAAGAAATCCACGAAATTTTAAATATATTTTTATGAATGTTGGAGTGTGAATGGCTCTGCGTTAGAGTGCAAGCCGACTATCAGGACCCCACCTCAATAAAATTAAAGCGTGCCTTTTAGAAAATTATATTATTAAATCTATAATATTAGTACTCTCCAACTAGATGCCGAATCAGAATGAATATTGGTATACATGGAATAACAGTGTCTTTGGTCTACGTTTCGGATGCCTCTCGGCAATCCTTCTCCAGGGAAAGTTACAATTCAACTTCTTATCAAAGCTACACTTCAACTATCTACAGAAGACTGATATTTAACAATATCCACATTTAACCACTCTTGAACATCGCATATTGTCTGGTAAGGAGGTTAACTCGATAGTTTCACATAACTACGAGAACATGGAACATACATTTAACATTCCCCTCACAGTAAGGGACCACCTCGGTTGCGTCAGAACTTAACTGTTTTATAATCCGTCCACGCCACGATCCATCTCCGTTAATTACCCGACATTTAGCCGTGCCAGAGCCGGCCGGTACATCTCCCTACCTACAAGGGGTGATGGACGGCACAGAGCGGATCCTCCTCCGAAGGAAGGACGACTTTTTCTCCCCGTTAACGGGACGTGTCGCGAATCTTAGTCCTTCGAGCCGCATTTTTCTGCTGGAGAAGGCCTATGACAGTGTAGGTGAAGCCACCTGTCCCCCGCATATGGCAAGACGCGATACCTTTCTGACGCTTTTTACCGTATTCGCCTCAACTAGTCGGGATTTTATTGAGTCCGGGAATGAGTGCGTTAGTTTTTGCCAGAGCATGCATCATTCGCGGACAGGTTTACGGCGGCTAATGGCTAGGATGGATGTGTTGAGGTCGAACGTATGGTGAGCGGAGTTCATTGAAACCGTGTTGAAACATGATTATTAATATACTATTTTCTATCAAAAATAATAGTTTCCCACTACTGTCTCTATGTCTTCGCCCCCTTTAAGTTACAAAGAATTACAAAGAACAAACTATAAAAAAATTCTTATATTCATAAAAAATCATCTGTAGAACGAAAATAATTGTTAAAACCCCATAAAATAATGCATTTTCTCAGCACCAAACTTTAAAAACAATATATTATTTTCGTCACAATCAAACAGATTAACGAGAAACATAGCAAACCTTTCAGAGTTATTGTTATCAGATCGATGCGTGAGAGGGAACGTCAAAGTGATGTAACTGTTTTTGACTTCTCTCATGGCAACCTCAGCTTGATCTCAGATGGGTTGTGTTGTAGGTGTTGTTCTGTCTTATCTATAATCTACTTGTTTATTCCCACTTTCACTTTCCCTTTGATATCAGAATGTTACTGTGTGATCGGTCTCGGGTCCCGTATCGAGATTGACAGTTGAAAAACACGAGTTTCAGGGTTATTATGGGAACTTCTGGGTAATCACAATTATAACTACACTGTGTGTTAATGTTCGTGTGTTGACGATTTTTAGGTTTATCATCTAAGTATAAATGATTCCTTTAACTAATAGTGAAGAATTTGGATACAGTGTATGCGGTAGTGTACACCGGAGTTGCAAAACATCAAAAACGACAAAATACGTTACATTCACACATATTGTCCATTTGTGAGTGCAACCTGAGACGGTTTGCGAGACATTTCCTAAACTCCCCCTGATGTGAACTTAAATCGAGATCGAAATCTTGTGAAGCGGTCAAACATCCGAGCTGATGACAATTGGATTGCACAAAACGCAGTCAGGAGGGGGAGGTCCCAGGTGTCGGGGGGGGGGGGGGGGGACTTTCGCAATGTAGGGTGGCTTTGGGGAGTTGGGCAACAAGACTTTGGCAATTTAAACAGGGTCAGAATCAGACGCTCCCCTATGTGAGAGCTTTTAGCACTTGATTGCGTACATAAACGTGTTTTATACAACAGTTCTACTTCCTACGTAGCTGCATAGACAGGTAGTGTTTAAACCGCGGCTTGAATGTGGATGGAAAGTTACAAGAGTAAACAATAGTGTGCATGGGTGAAATAAACTTCGATATCAATTCGATATTTATTTAGCCTATCTATATTCCATCAAAATGGTCACGAGTAAGCGTGTACTGGCAAATGATGTAAATGGAAAATGAGGTTGACTGTAAAGTTTACAATCTCATAAAATTTCTAAAACTCGAATTTCCATGTCACAATTATGGTACTAACACTGAGGAACGCAAAGCGGTTTGAACAGAGTTTACATCTAGGCATACGTTAGCCAAGCAAATAATTTAAGCTACTGTATAGTGTATACTTCCCGAAACATAAGAAAAAGAGCTAAGAAAATATTAAATCTGTTAAAACTCATAAGGAGTCCAAATCATATTTTTCTGTAAAGTAATCAGCAATATACTACAACCTTGATATACTATTGCTGGTTTCTAATTTTTTTTATTTAAAAAGTGGACTATTTTACACCTTTTTGTAGGGGAGAGGTGTATATTATGGCGATTACGATTTAAAATTGACGTTTTTTTAGATGGCATAATTGTTTTAAAGCCCAATGACTTAAAAGTTATTTGGGTCTACAATTGTCCCCGATATGGATCGAACCAGCGATCTTCAGCCCACCCTGACAAGTTATTAAAAGAGTTGACACTTTTATACTTATACACGGGCGTACATTTAAGATATATTATGACACAAAACCCCATTTTAATTGTTGTTACCTGATGCACTAGAAATGACACCATAAAGGATCACTGGTGAAAAAAAAATCAAAAATACTTTTACCTTAAAATATACATTATCTTAAATCATTTCTAACATAATCAACTATTTCAATAATCAATATTAAATTATTCGCTGCATAAGTGAACCTAATAAATGATCCTCCCACCTGTAGATACAAATGGTTACCGGGCGTTTCATTCATAAATCAGCGATTACAAAAACTCCAATGGAACAATAAGAAATATGTGTAGGTGCCTTATAATGGCTAGGTTGCGTGCCGGACTCGTATTAAAACCAACAGCAATGTTACGCCTGCCTGATTCAGTAGGCCGTGGATACAGTGATATACCGTAGGAGGCAGTGGCGGTGGCTACAATACAATACAACCTGGTGACGAAATATAGACGGCTGTAAATTGTATTTGCCCGTTTCAGGAGTGGTAACAATTTAGGCCCTAACAATGTAGTTAAATTGTGGTCAGCACTTAGTTAAAATTGACAGAATATGTTTTGAACATTTAGTTTTAGACGTAATTATTAATTTATAAAGCATGAAATGGCAGCCAAATAATTCGTAATGAGAACAAATATTGAAATATACGATATGCACGTACTGTAAATTTATATTTTAGTAGTCTACCATATTCATGAATAATACATGGTTGCGGTAAAAAATTTAAACGGTAACATGATCGAAGTGAAAACATTGGGAAAACAACACTAAATACACGCTTGTACATGTTATTGCAAGTTATGTTAAGGAAATCACTTGATTATTTTCCATAATTAATTATTAATTAATTATCTAGATTAATCTTTTGTTTGGATATTAATAGTATTTACAAATGCCGGAATTCACTTGGAGAATATCTCACTGTAATATTTATGAAACGATGTATAGGACACTGGATTACTACTATCTTCATTAAATAGAAACAAATAAGTCATATAAAGACGAAACCCAAACACGGAATTCTTTGTGATGATAAAAATCTAAAATCTGTAATTTCGCCCTATATTCGTATTGATAGCCTATTGTAAAAAAATATTACAGTTAATTTCAAATTCTCTAAGGTACCGTTATTTAATTACCTTGGGTATGTTTTGATCTATATTTTTTTTAATTTGTACAGAAAAATGTGTTTTGAATTTTCTAGGCCAAGCTCGAGCATATCACATCGAAACCCATATAAGTAAGTAGTTAAATACTCAATCAAATTTAAATTAAATTAAAACACAGTTGAAAGTTTCGTAATTTTTAACTCACAATGTGTAATTGATTACATAAAAAATAAAACAACATAGGTAAAAAAAGTTAACACAGTTTTATTAGACCGATAAAGCATATTATAGCCGTAATTAATGATATGAAACAATAATTTAAAACGCATTTCTCATAACTTAACCTCATTAGAGTTTAATTTGTTAATTTTAGACAATTTTTTCAATACTTTAGTAACAGCGAATGTACTTTTATTATTCCTTCACGTGTTTTATTTCCGTGTATTGTACAAAGTTAACTAAAAACATACATAAAACTGAAATTATCAAAGTTTGGGCAGCTACAAAAAAACAACTTCAATTTAATTAAATGGGTTGCTTTGTTAATTCCTACTGAGTTGCAGCTATTAAGTCTAATTTACCTTATCAATCCGTCATTTTACATTATTTATTTACAAGCTATATTAGTTTGCATTGATTAGACTGCTTGCACTACTCTGTTCACAATTTTAATCGAATATAAAATAAATCGATTGTTGTAAGTTATCTATATTCTTTCCCACTCCACAGTATCTGGTTGACAATAGTACTACTATATTCAAATGTATAAGATTAGTATTTTATTAAACTAGATAACCTTCATATCAACCATAGGCATACTCTATGTTATTAAAAAAAAAGTGTATTTTCCTATCTGACACAAATGTGTTATCTCACAATTAGTTGTATTAATTAGGTAAATATAGTAATCATATTTGAACTATATTTGATTTGAGCTATATTTGAATTATAATGACGTTTGCTCAATGTGAAAAAAACTATTACAAATTAAACTAAACAGTTCAATACCAATAAAAAAATTGTAGGCTACATTCATTATATTTTTAAAAAAATCACCGGAATGGACTCACCGCAGATCCCAATAATCACAGTGGCACTATGTAGCACAGCACGGCACTCACGGTCACTGGCACTATGCTGGCACTCACAGACTGACTGACGGTGTAGTACTGACTACTGACTACTGACTAGGGGGGCTGTGCTGTAAGTTGTAAGGGTGCGAAAGAAGGGAGGCACCCTAGGTACACCCCTAACTCCCCAACACCCCTCCATATCTACACCACTACACTACTACCTGCTTACGTGCATTGCGATGCTGGGCAATGGGGATGAATGAAATATGAAGTTACAATAAAAAAATTCCCATGCCAGTAGCTTTATGGTTGAAAGAAATATAAACTGTTTAAAGGAAAGTTGTCTAAACACCTCAAATTCTTCTATGAGACTTATACTATTTTAAAGTATAAGTTTGGTTTAGTTTTTATACTGTAATGTATAGCTGGAGGTACCAAATGTGGTATTTTAAATTATTATTTCTTATTTTCATACATCTCTTTTTAGGTTAATATATGATAATTTACAAAAACCATATATCCGGTGGATACAAAATATGGAATTAAATATTTGTCAGTCTATAAACAAAAATTATTAAGCTGTACCAAATGTTATTGGGAACAATATCTCCAGTTATTTTATATAATTTACCTGATTCAAACTGACATTTAGAATCACCATGAATATGATTGGAAGTTGTAGGCAGCTATAGAGTAATTATGTTAGCACATATAAAACATCTGGCTTTTATAAAACAGTGTTTCAAAGAGTTGTTTAGCCTCCGGATTAATGTATTATACTTACACATGCTTACGATATTTGCATATAGTAATCCTTTGTTGCTGTTTTTCAACTAGTTTTGGTTATTCTGAAACATATTTTTTTATTGTCAAGAAATCTCAACATTGATATGTCATGAATACAGAAACGTGTTAACTTTCAAATTATTGCTATGCATTTATAATTTAATATATTATAAAGGAAGCTGCAACTTAGTTATATCAGGTATTCCATTATTATTAAAATCTGTCAAGACATTTATAATTAATTGTCACTAATTCTACTGCTTCCCATTTGTTAATTGTCCTTAATTACTCTGACTCTTCGCCTGTCAAAAAGACAAATTTAAATTGTAGAGTGCACAAAGAATTTTCATAATGTAAAACAACAGGAAAAAATCTTAATAAAACCAATAAACACTAGAAAACAGTATACACATCTGACAGGCTGGTTTATCCAACAATACATAGCATGCAATTACGGCCCGCGTTTAAATTGTCTGTAAAATTGTTATAGTGTAAAATAATGGACAGAATAGTGATGGATCAATAGTGCTGTGAAAATGTACACCGTCTACTGTAATTGGTATACCTAATCGACTAAACACGGCACACACTACAAAAACCTTTAAATTAACCACAGAATCTGTTACGGTGTTAATTGTAAATACGAATTCTTATCAAAATCAAATGATGCCTCTTAACTGTATGCACTATTTTAAGTAGAATATTACCTTATTACCTTCTTCTTCACCAAGACCAGCTATGTCGGATAGGTTGTGCCAAATAGAATTAATAAAATTAAATTAAATACTGACTGATACGCTTGTATCTTACTATTTACATATATGTACACATTACTTATGGCGGTGGATGTAGCTTCAATTTAGTTTCAGTTTAGTTAAAAAAAAAACTTATCCAGGCTATAGAGTGGCCATCCTACTAGCCATGCCTTCAACACTTTATTAAACTCCCTTGATTCAAGGTTCAATAGTTGTTTCAGCCAACTAAATACAGCCCATGTAGTAAGTCAGTGTGGGCGGTCCACGGTGTGGCCGATGTGGTAGCCAAGGGTGAATGAGGGGGTGTGTCCACCACTACACTCACGTTCAAACTAGTTTGGTTTTTATAATGTCCAACTACGTATCAATTAGGAATAAATTATACAGGGTGTTACAGCCTCCGTTTGGATGAATACTGATGCAACAAAAGCCTCACTGATATTATAAATCTGCTGTGAAGAAGACAAATTAGGTGCTGGAAATCCTTCTAATATAAGTTTTGAGTGTTTGTTTTTACAACAAAGAATGTTTTTAATAATTATCCCATAATTATTTGTATTATTAATAAAATGTGTATACACATTTTTTTTATTCTCTCGATTTGTTTATTTTCTCGAATTCTGCTAATGCAAAGGTTTCAGATAAGTAAGAATAAACTACACAGGGAAGTCTTGTTGGAAAAATATTTTTGTAACAAAAGATCCTTTATATTCTACATCCTAAACAAGACAAATTATGTGAAAAATATTTTTAATTCTAAAATATGTCAAAAAATTACAAGCCTATGTATCAATTACGAATAAATTTATACGTTGTGCTTTGACGTTTAGATGATTGAAGTAGTCAATGTGAGTATTCTACGTCTTCACTGAGACAAATCAGGAATTGTAGATTTCCAATCAGGTCGTTAAGTGCTTTTCAGCTGCATTGACGATGAACGTTTTTATTAAATGTCTCATTTCTTCATATATACATTTTTATTCCCAAGATAAATAACAAAAAATATTAGTTATAACTTTAAAATGTCTTCTTGTTTGGAAAAATTTAAATGTATTTCTGCGTTGAACATTCATTATACAAAATCAACCACAATTTACCCACTCTAGGCCCCGGGGGGAGAGGTAACAGTAACAGTAGGTGTTATCAATGGGCGTTTATCAGGTGTGCGGATGCGTGCGACGAAGCCTCCCATTGGCTGAGGAGCGGCGTCGGCGACGGCGTCCCAGGGCTGCCAACTACCTACAGCAGCGCGGGCGTCGCAGGCATACCAACCTCACTCTCTAGCAGCACAACCTGTTATTAACCATTGTTAGGATAATACTGATCACCAATTGAACAATCAAGGTGAAACGGTCCATGTTAATAGGCCTTGAATAATCGATCTGTTTAATGGCGGTCATTAACGGTGTAATATCACAGTGGAAAGTTATGTAGTGTATTCGCATACTTGTCTGTATATGTATGAGGTGGTGATAGAATCAAATAATATAAATTTACCTTTGAAGAAAAATCTTCGTGATTCGAAGGGGATATTAGGAGAAACGAGAGCACGCCCCGTGGTCGAAAAATCTACCAAAAGTATGTATTGTGCAAACTTCTCTATTTTCACCTCACACTGTAAATAAAACATGTGATTGGATGTATTCAATTTGTTTTGATTTTCTGTTTATATTTTGTTGTTATTTTGTCATCACCATGGCATAGATAAGACCCATGTATTTTTTTCAAAATTTCAAATTCATTTTTCGTGCTTATTTGTGAGCCTGTTTAAATTTGTAAAGGGCTTTGCACATCTACAGGTAAATATCATTTGGTACCAACCACGTGTAATTCGGTCCAGTAATATGGTCAGGCTAGCTGTCATAAGTGTTGCAAAAGTTTTTTAGTATATAAGATATACACTAATGCATGTGCACACTTTCTACTTTATTGACTGAGCTAAAATTGGAGGTGGAGAGCGGGTAGGTACATGTAAAAACAGCATGATGGGTCGCCGACGCCGATATTGCTTTGTTGCAGCTAATCACGTATCTTGGTGCCACCATTGAGAAAGCAAAATTTTCTTGCGATTGCCAACTTCATTCTCGACATATTTGCAAATCAAATTAAGATCTGAACAGAGGTAATACTAGAATTAAATATATATCTCAACTCCGAAACCCGAGTTTTAGTCTAGAACTATTTTAGTTCAGAACTATCAATGGTTTCAAACAATTGTTCTCGTCCAAAACCCGCATTTAGACAAAACCATAGACAGATTCTCTAAAAAAAATCAACACATATAAGATTACACAAAGACAAATTAGCAAGCTATTGCTTAAAATTTACATAAGTTGTTTTGAACCATTATCAGTATCTATTATTAGCGTGTTTCGCAGGAGGTCGTGCGCAAGTGTGCGCAGTTATCAGTGAGTGGGAGGGCGTGTTATCATTTATCAGCTGATGACGCCCTGCGTGACGCACGGACGTCGCGCGACTGATAAAGGCGGGAGAGTGGACGTAATTTCCCACGATTTTGAACACCGTCAGTTTAAGATTGTCCAGTTCGCAAATGTTATCACAATTTTACGCTGATAGTTGCTTCCTGTGAGCTGTTAAATTTTTCTCGACTGGCGCAACTAAATTTTGGTACAATATATTTGATTTTATTAACTTAGAAATATTAAATGATAAATGCTATCAGACGGTTTTGGATCGGTACAGAATATAATAGCATAGGGTAATTTGAACTTTCCTAGATAATTCAAATATCTTCACAATGTGTAAGACTAAGTGGAGGGAGTCATTTCAAATAAAAATACAATGTTCTCATCACCAAGAGGTACCCATATATCTAACAAGGTTATGGACAAGTAGTCCTACGGCGGTGAGATCCCATTCACTGGATCACGAATTTATCTCACCAAAAGCGTTTGTTGGGATTTTAACCGCAGCCTCCTGAATTGCTACTAGTGCAACTGTACGCTAATTCACCTATTAATAGATATTTAAAGAAATTCCATTGTCTATTCTTAGCGAGCAGCTGAGTAGTTATAGTGCGTGCTATGAAATCTGAATCGATATTGAACAGATTCGATTCTAGAGCCAGTTGTTGGTATATAAAATAATAATGCTATGTACCACAAAATACCAAAGTTTGGACAGTCCTTTTCAGCGTAAAAATCCATACGGCGCTTAAAACACAACAAAGTCTACGTATCTACATTAAACAGAGAAATACTTAGCCACAAGTAACGCAACACTACAACTCATTCACAAAGAGCGGATTGCTAAACGCATGTGTAACTAATGAGTAACCGGGTGAATAATCCAGTAAAATCAGCTGTTGCATCACAGCGACAAAGAGAGCGGAAGACGGAAACGTCTAGTTGTCCACCTGCAGATCAAAGACTCGCGCCACGTGGTTGCAATAGGGAATGATAAATATGTTTCGTGATGCCGTAAAGTATCCATATTGCACCATGCAGGACGTCCAATGGCCTGTGGCTATCTGCACAACTAACTGTTGATAGAAACACACTCGTGACTCGGGTCTTCCGTTT